GTGCACCTCCAGCCTTCTCAGTCGGTGGAGCACGGGAAGCTGAAAAATCCTTGACTGGTGTAAGCACTACCTAGCCAACAACTAAACATCGGTGTGTTATCAACATTGTTCTCATCCTAAATCCAAAACACAGCACTGTACCAGCTACTAGGAAGAAAATTAACTCTCTCCCAGCCAAAACCAGGACAATTATATTGCATTCCTATTACTAGACAGCAAGAGTGTATTGTGTAGACACAATCAGATAAAAACAGCACCCCTACTCACCCACACAACAACCAACCTGAGTTATCATCAGACATACAATTACAATTCAAATCTAGCCAAAAACTTCATTGGCAATCATAACTCCTTACTTGGTGAATATCCAGTATGACACAGATGTAACTTATCTCTTCCTATTCTTGTCATTGGATTGTGCTACCTTCTCAAATAATTACCAGAAAAGTTAGCAAGGTATGGAAGTAAATCTCAGAACAACATTCATCAAAATTTCAAAATACAGAAAAAATTTAGACATCTCTTTAGCTATTCTATGGACATAAATCAATAGGTCATAAATGTTGCTTTGCCAAAATTAAAAATTAACAAAAAAGGTACCATTTTGTACATCTGAACAATTGTAGCTATATTCATGAGAACAGTTGAACTGTTTCTACACAATATTTAGAAGAAACAGCATAGTCTGAGAAAGGGATTGAAAGAAAATATCACCTCACCGCCTCAGACTGGAAGTTGCAGCAACTAATGAGACCAGCTCAGTGTTTATGCAGCCTTAGCTTTAAATCCCAGTAAACTCCACTACTGTCTTCTCAGTAGTACGTATTTCTGCTGGTATGTAAAGGGCAGTAAGGAAATCATGTCAGGAATCTTACAACCAGCTAACTTCTTGATCTGAAATATATAACTAGTTGAAATGTATTGATTTACTATAAAAATTATGCATGTTTTGTTACAAAGTGCTAAGTCCGAGACATTTTCAGGGATGATCTCCTCAGGGTTCGTACAGCTGGACAAGTCACGTTTTGTTACTAACATTGCTGATTCTTCTCAGGTGTATCTTGATGTATTTGGCATATTCGTAACACCCCAACTCCCTGCTGCAAATGACAATGTGACAATTCCAGGACCCATTTGAAATAAAAGTATAAAATCAAAAGTGAACTGAGTTTGATCTTAAGACTCAGAAATCAAATTATTTTTGTCATAAATGTTGAGATGGTCTAGCTCATAATTTTTACACATCTGAGGTTGGCAAGGCTGGTGGCAATCTACTATTTGATTTAGTCCTGTTACCAGACTGGACTGTGAAGATATTTTTACTTCAGTGAACATACAGACGTGGCAGAATGCCTCTTGGGAGCTACTGCCTTGTAGGTAAACACCAACACATGCTACCCTGATCTGCTTCCTATCAGTTTTCAAGGCAATGCAAAGACTGTGTGTTTCACCTCATCTTTGAAGGAGTAAGTGCACTAATGTAAGGGACCACTAATATTTGATTGACTGTGTGTGCAGCTTGGTAGAAGAGTTAAACTGATTGCATTGCATTTGAGTTTTATAGTTTTAAGTAACTGGCAGAGTGCTCTGAGCTGATGTCTAGGCACTTCTTATCTAATCTAAATCAAAATAAAATAACATAACACATAATGAGGTCTGTGTGACTTTGGGACAAAAGATCTCCCAGGGAACACTGCAAGAACATTGCTGTGCTCTGAAGCAAGTAGTACACTTTTGAATGGTGCAATAAATAATAATAAAGCTATTATTTTTTATTCTTCATTTGGGGTTATTGCTCTGGTTTTGGGCCTTGGCAGTCTCAGATTTAATAGGTTTTTTCTATCTGTGTCATGCCTTTTCCTTCAGACTTTCTGTGCTAATACAACTGTACCAAAGAAATAAAAATGACCTACAAAATTCCACTGTCCACAAAACAAAACCCAAACCCAAACCTGAATAATTATTTAATGGTTGACAGCAGTCAATGACTTATCATCACAGTAGGTCCAACAATTCAGGAAACTTGACAATATGCAAGTTGTGAATTCTATGGATTATTGAATGCTTCTGCATATGTGGAGTCACCTGTATTTAAGGCAAGAGATTTCATTAAACCTTACTTAAGCTGAGCACCTTAAGACATTGGAAGAAATAAAGCCTATAGAAAGCAATCCAGCGTAGTTTATTTGAAAGGAGAGGGACTGAAGCAGTAGAATTTTCTTACATACAAAACCTAAAGGATAAGCATTAACACCAAGTTCCTAGTTTTGTAGTTATCAAACTTGGAGAGGTGATAGTCCTGAAAAGGACTTGGCGGCTTTGGAAGCTTGCTGGGGCAAGAGCCACAAAGAAAACAAAGTTTAGCCAAAGGTTAGCTGCAGGGCTGGGTAAGGGAGAAAGAAGCAGAGCGTAGGAAAGAAAAATTCACCCTGGATTCAGAGGAGAAGACAAGTGCAGAAGCAGGGATTCTGAGTTTCTCAGATGACCCTGATCTGAACTCAAATGCTTAAAATTTTGTTAAAAACTATCTGAGGCAGGCAAATTTATGTAGCATGTTGTGGGATTTTTTTCCTTCATTCTTTACATTTCTTTTGCTATCTTAAGTGCAAACTACTCTTTTTTTGGCATCTTTACAAGGTCTAGAGGCTTCTATGTGTTTTAGCTATTATTCATCCCCTGCCTAATAGCGTGTAATGCCTTTATAATGAATTAACTGATGACAGTGAACTCTAGGCTGCCTCTGAGATAAGAGGAAGTTATGCTGCTCACAGACAATGTTTCAGTCTGTCTGACTACAGATACAAGAAAACACCACTCCTCCATTTCACATTTG